ACGCTTTCACTATCTTCAAAATCCTGGATATCGGACAGTGGGAGTCGGTCCTCTTAGATGCTCTTCACTCTATCCGATCGTTGCTGTGCACAGCCACCAACGAAACTCCACACGAGCGCTTATTTCGATTCAACCGAAAGTCAACTACTGGCACATCCCTTCCTACGTGGCTATCCGAGCCTGGTCGGGTACTCATGAAGCGTGCTTCACGTCAATCGAAATATGAACCATTGGTTGAAGAAGTTGAGCTACTTGACTGCAACCCAGATTATGCTTTTGTCCGACTTCCCGATGGCAGAGAGGAGACGGTTTCTACTCGCCACATGCCTCCTGCTGCTGACAGGATTCCCGATGACAGCGATGTCCCTCTGATGCCCCACGTACTAAATGCACCGGATGCTATGGTTCCTACTACTACTCTGACAGCAACTCCCGACCCATCTCCTAATGATACTACTACTAGAAGAGAGACTACTCTGCTACAACAACAACAACAACGAACCCGACCGTACGATCTAAGAAATCGTGAAGCTTGATCCTGCTCTTCATTTATTATACGTCGCTTTTTTGGACAGCTCTTTCATTCGCATCCCGCATGTTACTCTTATCCAATTTCTCTTCCTAACACGGACCGCTCTGCGCCGAACTCATCTTTACAAACATCATCAACTACTCAGCAACGATTTCCTAGCGAGGGAGAATGTTATGTGTTTTTGATTTTGCCGTATTCCATGCCTTGGCATATTTACCGTTCTAATACATGTTTCTGTTTTTATAGCTCATAAATCCGAATTATTAATCGAGTAAAGTCTCCTTATCGGCTTTTGTCTTCTTCCTTCATTCCTGGAATAATCCGTGTTCATTACAGGGATCTCATCTCTTTATCAATCCAAGGGAGTCCTTTTGACGGTAGTCTGCTCCTGCAGTTTGGAACAAACTGTTCAATGGGCCGCATCATCATAGATCGTAGGCGCTCCCATGCGTCATCAAACTCCAAAGATTGCGGAACACTTCAGTCCGTGTTACTTGCAGCCGTTCTTCATCTGGGCTGGTCAGTGCGCCAGAAATTTCGACGCAGTGTCCCCTGATCGTGGATCGTGATGCGTGTTCACGAAAAGAAAAACTGTACAGTGATTACACTTCCCAAGAGGTTGAAGGATTGTTAGATCTGAAACATCAGATCGGCCGAGGGGAGAACCAAGTCTAGAATGTTTAATGTCTGACCAGAGACCATCCTTGTTGGTGTCAAGACAAGCTATCAGGTTGCACTCGTGAACGGTACCAAGGAGATCAAGTTCAAAGGAGTCCGGTGGGAGATCACTGTGAAGAAGGTCCCAGATTGTGCCGGGGACGCTGAAGCCACCCATAAGGAGACAGTTTGTCCCTTTTCTGTGGGTTCCCACGGAGCGTAATAAGTTTGAGCTGAGTCATGTAAAGGCTCAGTAGACCCCTCCGACCATCAGCGATTGGTATCAGTCATGAACTCGACACCAGAGCGTTGTTGACATACCATCCTTGAGGCCTTGAGGCAGGTATTTGAGTAGAGGATTACTCCGCCTCCAGTCCTCCCACCAAAGCGATCGCATTGAAGCAGCTGATATACTGAAACACGATCCTCCGAGTCAGATATATCAGATGACAGCCAGGTTTTGGTGAACGTTATTAGATCCGGTTGCTGCTCAGAGATAAGTGGTGGAAGCTAATATAGCTTGTTTCTGAGACTGCGCACATTCGCGAGTATTACCCGTAATCCGTTCTTTGTCTGAGGTTCAGAAAGGAGGATTGGCTTCCATCGAGCTCTCTAAGTTTTCTGACTACACGAAAACCCATTATGTGTAGATCTGTTTCTCCATTTGTTGGTCGGGTTCGCAGCTCGTAAACAGCTTGCCTCATTCAGACTTGGTCCTCCGTGGTGAGGTGTTTCAGAACGTAGGTGACTCCCTTGAGGCGCGGGGTCGGTCTCAGGATGCGCTATCATTCTTCTTCATTCTGACAGACGATTTTCAGAGGACGAAAGTTGGCTGGGTCCTCTTGTTTTCTGCCGAGGCAAAAAGCAGAGATTAGGTCTATCCCTTGCACACCCTCATCAAACAATATGGAGACTATTCGTCTAAGGAAAACTTAATCCTCGAGTATCCTTTCAGCTGGAGTCACTTTGTTGGATTCTGAAACGTTTTGTGATTATCAGGCAGCGGTTGCGAGCAAGCGGCTTGTTTCGTTCCGGTGATGCTGGCTTTTATGGGCATTTCTTTTCTTTGACCAATCGGCTCAAGCTGTGCTACTCTATTTAGGACGAGCTTTAGTTCCGCGTTCTTGGTGCTTGATTCCAGCTTGGGCCATGGGGACATCTTTTTCGAGGCTTTGTTCTCAGCCGTGGTTATCCTCGTTTTTGCTAAGGTGCTGGCGCTCGCGACTGCGGCATAGGACTTGGGCTTATCCATCAGCCCATTCTCACTGGGCAACAGTGTTAAGTCCAACACCGTGGAGGATGCCCGGCTTCTTTTGGTGTAGAATACCTGTTGTGGGTCTGTCAAATATCCCCAAAAAACAAGCCACAAACTCCGGCGTAATGGCTGTGGAAAGCGTAGTTCAATTCCTCCCCCCAACTCAGCAGATTTCAGCCACTCCGAGATGCGGCACAACTGCACACGTACACAATGTTCTTTTGTAAACTACCACCCCATCGCGGTAACTACTTTCACTAACTTGATGACCTATAGTATTGGCTGTGATTCGCCCTTTGTTGGTCTTAAAAGAGCCTACAGAGGACCACTTGTCTTGCTTCTCTTCGCCGTTAGTTAGGAGTCGGTTCGATCACGTGCGTTTGTGTGTGTCGATGGCCGGGCAGCGCTCGCGTCTAAGTCACTAGTGCGCGTGGCATAGTCCGTTAAGAGAGATCATCGTCTACCCGAATACGTGTGGATACGAAAATTCTCACGCTAACCGATTTCCGCCTCACCAGCGCGTACCCCGGGCTAAGCTAACGCCATTACGTCATCGCAAATTCGTTCGATCGGCTAATCTTCCAAGCCGTTATCGCAGGCATGCTCAAACGGTGCCAGTGACAATCGTATCAAGGGCGTCTCTCAATTTCAACAGTGGCGACAGAGTTTATGAACCATGACTTACGACTACGCCGATTTAGAACTTATGCTGCAGCAACAACTGTAATTAATATCCGTCTTAACCGAAAAACTCTCGTTTTTCTCTTCATGCAGGTCCGAGCGGTAAGTATCAGTCAGTGGACCATGTGATTAGCAGTATCAGCGAATTGCTGCACGACGCCAAGGCCGTGGTAACGTTCGAATTTTTGTATAAGCGGTCCGAGGAGCTGTTCACCGTTGACTTGGTTTGCAGGACGACGCGTGGAAAATCCGGCTGCTTCTCCGCAAACTTAGTACACTCGAACACCAACACTACATCAACTTCACCTTGCCGAGGAACCCACACAACGTTGTCTTTGACGAGACGGTACTAATGTAGTCCCAGGTTTTTGGCGAGCAGTCCTCTATGCTCAATGCTCGTTACCAATGTCTGCAGCTGGCCAAGGTTGATGTCGACAAGTTCATCACGTACGCGGGCGTGGTCAACCGTAAAATTCCAACGTGTTCAACTTGGCTCACTCACCGAGGACCAATACAAATGCCTGGTTTTCGTCTCTGGTCTCCAGTCTCCACACGATGCCGATATCCGGACGCGCCTCCTGTCCAAGCTACAACAGGATAGCTCAGTCACACTCCAGTACCTAGCCGAGGAGTGTCAAACGCTGCTCAACCTGAAGCACGATTCTGCCATGATCCAGAACGCCGCCGCACCTGGTATGGTCCAGGCAGTCACAGCACCGAGAGCGCAATCATCCGCGCACACCACCCCCCCCCCCAATCCGACCGAGCGAAATCCCCACCTTACGCGTGCCGATTCCGTGGTACTTAACCTTTCCACCGGGACTGTAATTTCCGCCAGCATCGTTGTCAACGTTGTGGCAGGGTGGGACGCCGGGATGGTTACTGCCACCTTACATCTCCCAAGGGGGTTAAAACTGGACTGCCCCTCACCCGCGATTCAAAGAAGAGGTCACGACCCAGACGCATACTCAAACTTGGTCCAGTTGGCAGCTTCCTGAGACCGCTGGTCACGTTCCAAATCAACGCTGCGGATGGGAAAAATTCGTCGACGTCTTGATCAACAGCCAGTCCGTCCGATCGCAGTTAGACATTGCGTCGGACATCACAATTATCTCCAAGGATCTCTGGCGATCCCTTGGCAAACCACCGTTCGAACCGACCTCGCAATCTGCCACCAGCGCCTGTGGTGGTCGCGTGCAGCTAACTGGGCAGTTGCACTACTCCGTCTCATTCCGAGGAGCCA